TTAATAAGCTTATAAAAGATTTTATTTGCCTTATTCTAAGTGACTGGTTTCTTATGCCATGGATTTTCAAATACATGATCATCCGGTGTCACATACAATGTTAGAAGTTGTTACTCGATGACATGCATAAGCTAAAGAAACAGTGTTTGCCCAAAATGTTTAACCGATATTCTAGCAAAGCTCGATAATGATGCTAATATCATTAAAACATTTATCGCAGGCGCTTTGCATTTTGTTGAAGATGAAGCTATTTCATGCAATTGTTCTTAAAAGATTGTTTTTAATAAAACTCTCCACTGCTTTATGCATTACTATCTTAATTGCATTACTATAAAAGTGAAAATTCACTGAAATGCAGGTTCTTAAAATGTTTACTAAGATTTTGATCACTTTGTGTAAGTGATTCCTATATTGATGTTCATTGAATTCGTGTGCCAAAGCTTGCTATAGATTGAATTATAATAATCTTATAAAATATATTACCCTTCAGATAGGAATAATAGTATTAGTACATTAAATAAATAAATACCATGCAATGCGTGATAATCTAGACTGTTTAATTATTTCTAAAAGGAAAGTTCAGTAATTTCTTAATACCAGTAAATTTATTCTGCCATTTAGAAGATATTTAACTAGTTAAATACTAGCAGAATGCCTTTGTGAATGGTAATATGTTTCTGTGCTGGACAGTATTGTTACCATGGTATCCCACTGCAGGAGCAATTAGCATAGATTGTGTAAATCACATCGGCGAAGTGATGTTAAGCAATCAAATATTCAGGTATAAATGACGGGATATAATTCATGTGATTAAGGTCTTCAATTGAACGGGATTAATGAACTAAACTCAGTGTAGCAAGGGAACTATTGTTCACAGAATTTCCCCTCGAGGTTTCGGGTTTACATAATTTTTAAATGTTTCTGCTGGTTGTTAATTTAGGCATATAGAATTTCAAGCTGAATTGTTATTTCAATTAACACCATTGCGAACCCGCAGAACGAAACAAATGTTAGTATCTTGAAGAGAATATATTTAATGAATTGAAGACAAATTACAAGTTTAAATATTCAGATGCAACAAAATACAGCCTAGTAACTTATAAACAATCTCTAAAGACTACCAAGCATTTCTGAACAGCAATCGTTTATAGCATTTCAGATAAACCCTTGAAACTATTATTATTTTCATTCTTTTTAAATTTATATTTTAAAGTTATGTATCGTAATTAGAAACATAATTGAACTATTCGCTTATTTCAGGATGTCACTGCTTACAAATGATGATAGATTCATTTCAAAATATTGATGCAGTTTTACGTTAATTAAAAAAATGTCTAGTTAAATTATCTCTATTTAAATGGAAAAATTTGTTTTCTTTTCACTTTAATTATATGCGTAAGTTTTTAGTATCATAGTATATGAAAACATTAGTGACCATATTAAAGTGCTCACATCCTAACACATTTATGCTTTTCTCGTGATAAGCTTAGCTCGTGATAAGCAGTTGGAAATTTTAAAGTAAGGCAATTTCCGAATCTCCTGAACGAGCTCAAATGATTCTATCTTATTCAGATATTACTATTGGGAAAGTTCTTGATCAGGCATTTAGCTTAAAATTTAAATAACGAACAAAATATCTAGTGATATAAATAACAAGAATTTCTTCCCCAGTCGAACAGTTAATTTAAATTTTGACTTTATATTTAGAGTTAGTATGAAAGCAACTGTAAAATTAGCAAAATAGTGCCTTCCATTTTAAATGGAATTACAGTTTAACATTTACTATAAACAAATATATGCGTAGTAGCAGATGTTCCTCTAAATAAAAACTGAGAACTTTTAAACAACCGCAAAAGTATCCACTGCTGACTACCGAATTATATTTTAGTGTTTTTGTTGAGCATTCTTTAGCCGTTACTAAAAAAAAAAAAGGAGAGACATAACCCAAAACATCTTCCGCACGAAAGCTAAATAAATCATACATTGTAATCCCCGAATTCCAGGAAAATAAAATAGAAATGTATTAAGAGCCACTAAGGGGGAAAAACATAAGCGTACTGCTCCCTCACGATGAGAAACATGACCGCAGTAGCAAGCGAACGAGCGCGGGAAAGATTGAAACTGACAAAACTGTCTGCTTAGCTAGGAAGAAGTGTTGACAACCAGAATCCAGAAGTCCTTCTTATAATCTCAGCATGTCATCTTTCGACTACGGACACGGTATTTATGTGTATGTGCGTGGATTGGTTTGGAATCTATTCGCTTCACTTGACATGGCCATATGTGGTGGTTGGTGTATAAAAAGCAGTAATATATGTTTTCGTTTCTTGTCCATGCGCCAAAAATGAAAGAGCTGTATTGTATATTGTATCTTGTTTTTCGAAAATATAAGTCGGTAAACTACATTTCTTCTTCAAATATACTTCAATGTATTTGAAGCATATAAAAATAGATTTACTAACTAAGTAAGTTACATTCTTAATCACTTCGTTTAAAAAAACTGTACAGATAATTTAGGAATAACATGATAATAGAACGAAGCCAATTTTTTTACCACATAATTACTCTTCCCGTGTTGCTTGCAGCTTATTTGATTTTCAAGTGACTGTCAAGCTTGAACTGAATAGCAGGTTGTCTCTCTGATGGAAAAAATACTTACAAACATGACTGAGGAGCATTTGTCCGGCCAGTAAAAATTTATTTACGAATGAATTTTTTAATTTAGTGTGAAATGCAAATGGTTTAGTATTTTTAATTAGTTTTAGTGTTTATTTATTTATTTTTTTAATAATTCACAAATTGTGTCTTATTTTGTATTCGCCTATTAGCTTTTTCATATAATGTTATGACTAATACGCAAGGAAAAAGGCCTTTTCTTAGCCAATTAATTCATTGTATGATTGTATGCATCTTCTTTCCGTGTTAATCAGTTTCTTAGTGAAATTAAGTAATACATAGTTGTTGTTTTTTTTCCATCATTTGAAAACAAATGCCAGATAAAAGTATGTTGATGCAAATGAAAATATAAAGCAGAAAAAGGGTATTCTAGATTTCAAATATGGATCTTGTTTGCATAACAGTTGTAGTCTACGAGGCTAATTTATTTCGCTCTTTTCTTGATAGACTGTCAAACTTTAATGAAAGTACTTTATTACGGACATGCATTTTTTTAATTTTTAATAGGAAAATCCCGTAAACATTATCCAGGCAATGTTTTTAATTGTCCACTAGTGAAACATAGAGCACAGAGGAAGATTAGTTATGAAGAGGGTAATTCTAACTTATTCACTATTGCATGGCGGGAAACATCTAACAATGACGGACAATATAAACAGAGAATGACTACGAAGCAAGATCTCGTGTGTGATGTTGTTGTCTTGTCCATATATCTCATGGGAAAACGGTTGCCAGAACCTCAAGGAGGTTGGACTTCTACATCCATCCCAATTTTGAGGGAGAGCACCCCGGGGGGATTCACCTTTCTTCCCCTACCACCAAACCACACTGAAGGACTTTCGGCGCGCTATTTATTTAGAGTGGTCTCATGCCGCAAAAATACTATACATTTACAAACATCCATGCCTTTTTCGGGATTCGAATTAGGGCTCCTCAGTACCGCTGCAAGTTCCCGTACACACAATACCGTCTGGACGACTTCGTGATTGATGCAAAACGCGTTATTAATCAAAAATATTTGCAGTTGTTATATATATTATAACAACTAATACTTTGACAATTACTTCAGAAAATCCTTTTCTTTAAATGGACAAGATATTAAAACTTTATTCAAATAAAAATAATTTAAAACATTTCATACAATAGGTATAAGATAAGCTTTTAGCGAGGAACGCCAGTAAACTAACTCCCATATTCTTCATATATGCATTTCTAATCGGAATGAGCTTCTAATAATACGGAACTCAATGGGGATCATGCAATTCATTCAAGAATTCAAGAACTGCATTCAAGAATGATATCTTTGACTGCGTAGCATCCGAAAATATTATAATCTCGGAACACTTCTTTATACAATAAATCATTCATAAATTTAGGAAAGTTCATTTAGATGTCACAATGTAGTAATTTCCGAAAAGGAACCCGTAATTCCCGAAATTTTTCTTAATTATTAATAAGCGTATACTATATGAAACTACAATGTATGAGCAATCACTTCGGTAAGAGTTTCCTCATCTTAAATCGAGAAAAAGATATTTTTTATACTTGGCAGCTTCCATTCGAATTCCCTATGCTGGAAAAGCTTAAACCGTAACTGAAATTTACATTTGCAATTCAATGACGAGTAGCAATTAAAAAAATAAAATAAATTAGTAAAAAATTATTTCTGAATCTTAACCCATTAACGCCCAAATTAACAATTCTTGAAATTTTGCCTTGAAATTGATAGACATTGTTAGAAATGCATAAAATTAAAAGTATTTCAAAAGCATTTTGAAAAATTTTAACTGCAACCATATTTTTTAAGCCGTCCTCATTTGAGGACACTGGGCGTTTGTATATAAAAATGTAAAATTTTTATAAAATCAAAATTTTTTACATAAAATGATTTAGTTTTAATATATAAACAAACTAATAGACAAAATAATGTTAAAAATCAAAATTTATTTTAAGACGTGTAAGAAAACTTTTTTTTTTACATTTTTAAGATAGATTTTTTTTATGGACAAGAGGAAAGCATTGAATGCACAATGTTACATTGCATTTCATGCAATATGTTCTTGGCTTTGAGGCACAATTGTCATATTGGCAACGCCTTTGTTTATCTCTTTTACCAATAACATGCTGTATTTTGTCGAATTTTATGTCAGGAAGCACGTTCGATCTGCATGTTATCCTCCTTTGTACTGGTCTTCCTAGGATTGCTTTTGAGTCGGCTCCTTTTTTCAAATAGGTTACTGCAATGTATCTCCTAAAATCTTTGATTGACATTGAACGATGGATCCTTTTATAAATGAGATAGGCATTTACAACAGCCATATCTATCATCCTAGTAATAAGACAAAAATACCATTTCTTTCCTCGATGGCTATAGAATGTTTCTCAAGAAGCCAATCATGAAGGTCGACACCCCCCATAAATGAGGTATAGGAACTTATAGCATGAGGCTGATTTACTTTCACCTTTTCTTTTTTATCTACACTCCATCTTTGTACTGAAGAGAGTGGCATTATTGTGTCAAAATTAGTGGCCAATGAAACACACTTATTGTCTTTCCATTTGACAACAAGAATTTCATTTGTTGTGTCAAATTTACTATCGTAAAACCCTCTCTCTTTCTTACTCATTTTCTTGTCATCCATAATTGGGCATTTTTCAGTACGATTTTCTCGAATTGTTCCACTAGCTCTAAACTTCAGTTCTTTCAGTAACGCATGACTGGTAAAAAAACTATCAAAATAAACACGATGGCTCTTCGGATCTTCTACAATAGATAGTAGATTTAGCACCACTTTTGTACCTAAAGGCAGTTTGTCAGATTCGGAAGTATTTGTTTCCTTTCCACAATACAGTGCAAAGTTATAACAGTATCCATCGTTGCCACACAGAGCCCAGAGTTTATACCCAAATCTAATAGGTTTAGATTTTATAAACTGTTTCAGTGTATGATGACCATAATACCGGACGATCATTTCATCAACAGACAAATTTTCATGGAAAATGCCCCATTTTTGAAAATTCTTGGAAAGCATTTCTAACAAGGGACGTATTTTAAATGATTTATCATTCTTGTTATATTGATGTAATTTATTATCTTGGAAATGCAATAATCTTTTGAGCTCTAAATAGAAATTTCTAGTCATAGCATTCTTCACTATTGTTACTCTAAATCATCTGCTTCTGCCCAGTAGTCCCGTTCACTGGGTAAAAAATGATAGCCCGAAAGTATCAGAAATCCTATAAATGTTTTTATTTCATCTTTAGTCACATTATAATTCAATTTATTTTTCATTTCGTGAGCATATCGATTAGTTTCCTCTACGATCATATCATAAACACTTTCAGTAAAAAATTCTTCAAACAGCTCAACTGGTTATTATTATTAGTTTGCGCTGTCAATATATCAGAATTTCTCTTGGACAAATTTTCCAAATTCCCAAATGTGTAAGCCGGGCTTTCATTCGTCCATACAATTGACTCTCTTTTACGTTTACGGGAATTGTTTTCCTTTTTCTTAACCGAAATAATAGGGTTATCATTATCATCTGGCATTGTAATTTCTAATGTACCTGCAACATCTGTTACAACTGGAGTACCCAAATTATCATCATCGAATTGCTCTTCATCTGTTAGCTCATCCACATCCGGAGGCATCGATATAATATCTGCTTCTATTTCTTCAGAAAAAAGATAAGCAGTCGCCTCTTCTAAGCTTTTAAATATTTTATTTCTACTCATTTTACAAGATTTATTTATAGTTTTTCTGCAACAAAAGTAACAAACACTTAAAAAATAAATCTGAATACTGCATAAAAACTATACCCAAACGCCCAGTGTCCTCAAACGAGGACGGATATGTTTTCCTGTTTATTACGGATATATTTACAGCAATAAATATTAACAAACATGCTAATGACACAATATGGGCTATCTAGATTATATTTATAACAAATTGAAAGAATTTACCTCATAAACCCAGTGCCATACAGTGGAACATAAAATAAACAACGCGATTACCAAAAAAAGGGTAAATTATACTTTATCTTTCCCCCGCAATTTTACTTAGTTCCAAAATAATTGCACATCTCCCATTGTATGGTTGTGTCATCTATCGGACCAAATTGTACATATAAAAAATTTTTTTAATTTAATGCAGGGAATAACAATTTTTTACAGCGTCCTCAAATGAGGACACTGGGCGCTAATGGGTTAATGAGAAGGTGATTGAATACCTTAGCAAACTCACCAGCACAGAATGCAACAGTCAAAAACTGGCATCCAGTTAACACCATAACGAACAAAGGTATTTCAGACAAAATGTGCTGACTAGAGAGCTTAAATGCGTTATTATTATTATTATTAGTTTAAAGAGGCTTTGTTTGCGAGGGACTATTGTTTTCGTTCTGCGATTTTGCGTCGAATCACTCTGAATGCCCGTTCCACTGTTCACACTTTTGCCGCCAAATATTATTGCCCTGTATTATATTTGAAGAAATTAAATAATGAAGAATGGGCATATATGTATGTATGTTTCTCGCATTGTGATCAAACAACGGTACCTAGAGCCATCCAGTTTTGAATGACATAATCATACTGCGAATATGGGCTTCTGGAAGCCCAAATTTGAATTGTGGAATCTGTTTTACTCGTATTATCGGTTTCATATTTTGTAAAAATTTAACGAATTTTTTATTAACAAACTCAAGGATTTCAAAGCGAGAAATGGCAACGTTGTACAAAAAAACATTTTATCTCCAGCGGGTGAAAGTGTGTTACAGAAATTCTAAAGATATGCTCAATTTAAAATTATTTTGCGATATTGCTCTTGAACTGAATTGTATGGTTTAAATGCGAAGAACGTGACATTTAATAAATAAAGGTAACACACAAAATGTTAAAAATAAAAAAACCTTTGGTTGTAATTTAAAATCTGAAACCTTTCAGATTTTTATTTAAATATTATTATTATTATTATTATGTTATTCTTTCAGCTACTATCAGATCGGATAAAAATTTTCCTCAGTACTCTACAGTATTGTTTCTCAAGCGATGATATATGCAACACTGACTGTGTACTAGATTATTTCTGATGATACAATTTTTGTGGAAAAGATTTAAATGATTGTTCAGAAAGAATGTAAAGTTGTGACCCTTTAAGTACATAGATTGGCACAAGATGCTAAAACATATATTTTTATTCTTATTTCTGTGGTACAAAATTTAAAACGTTTGAGAACCTTTGGTCCATAATAGTAAACGCTTCGATTAACGCTTGCGTCCTTTCCTGTCATCCGGTTACTGGTTTATTTCTGTTTCTCCATTCATATGCCTTCCGCACTTCAGAATTATTGTTACTCCTGAATTCTTCGTTTATGATTTTTGCAAGATGTAATTTTTCTTGAACTCATTTGGGCGGATTAATGAAGGACTAATTCAGGAGCTCAATAACAGGATACTCCGCTGAAGTTGAAAATATACAGCAGCTCCTTGTGTTCGTTGGATTCTGGAAGCCCAATTGTGAGTTATCTTATAGTTTTATTCACACTATTGTAGTTATTTGTCAAAGTGCGAATAATTTCATTTCATCTTGCGGTAACTAGTAGAAGTGTATTTCTAATCTAATAATAATAGAAATGCATCTTGTCGTAAAGAGACATTAAAAATTTGTGTCTATAAAATGTGTAATTCTGTTAATTGTGATCTATTTTAAATAACTAATTTAATGTTATAAATTAATCAAAATAATCGTTTGTTATGTTAATTTGGTAATCTAATTTTGTTAAATGACGCTGAATAAAAAAAATATGATTGGAAGGTTATTTACCATTGGATGTAAGGGTAGTCCGGCCAGCTATCTGAATATATGATATTCTATGAATTTAATAAATGTGTTTGGTTTGTATATTTTATGTTTCGTTTGTTTATTTTGAGTTATTTTAATTGTTGATCTGTCCAATCACTCCATTTGTTTGAGCCGAAGGCTTTTGAGGAACCTGGAGACTTGTGATATTTTTAATATTTTCAAGGGTTTCTCAACGTACCATTTTAATTTAAAGTGCTAGCTACTTATTATAATTATTTGAATGCTCATTGATAATTTGTAATTGCCAGAATTATATTTAAACTCCTTCAGTTTATTATTTATGGGGAACTGATTGATTGTTGTATGAATATTTCTTCTCTGGTGTTCGTGAGATTTTAAATTAATGAAACTGAACTTTGTTGCTCTTGAGTTAATTATAGAATTGATGGATATGGTAAGTTATGTGAATTGAAGTAATGGACTAGTTGAGAGATAGCATGCTATTTTACCCAAGCACCAACGAGGACATATTCCTCTTTATTTTTAGGTTAAGTTTCAATTAGTGTGAGTTTGCATTAATTGAGTTAATTGATTCTAAGGATATCTCGAACACGCGTCGAGGATGCTTCGAATCGCACCACGAAGGCATGCGGAAAAGAGGGAGAAAATACCTTACAATGTGTCTCTGTGAAAGTGTGTCTAGGTTATCTACAGGCAGCTTGTATGTAACGTCTGATTTCCTATTTAATTATGCATGGTAATTTGTATGGTTTTCCCCATGTGCAATAAGAATATCAGTTAATTTCCATTAGAATGGCCGCCTCGAAGTCATCCCTTCCCGTAGTAAAAAGGACCGAGTTTAATACGTATTAAATTAATGTAACCCAATGCTTCAGACGGTATTTCTCAAAGGGTAATATAACAGAGTTTCGAATCTCGCAATGGTATTATTTGGCAAAAGCTCCTCCTTGAAATTTTCCAAATCCCTTTTTTCAGTTTTCGAGTGTTTCGTTTTTATTTTTCGAAAAGAAAATTTAACTATTCAGTAAAAATAATGCACTTCCTTTGGGATATAAATTAAAACTGTACTGAATATTTTGTCAAAATTACTAAATATTTTGTCTCTTTTTCCCCTTTTTTCAAGTAAGGAAATATCCAGTGAGTCCCTTTTATAACGCCATTTTGAGAAGTATTGTTTAGAGTATTACATCCTTATGAAATAAAGGTTTCAGAGTGTAGAGGAAATAAATTTCATAAAGGTAAATTTCCTTATCATCTGAATAATGGCTTTGGAGATAATTTGAATTCACTGCAATGTAAATAGTGCTAGCTCGACCACGTAACTACCTCCTACGAAATTCAAAACCTTCATCTATGACAACTCATCCGCTAGCTGGAGTCCTGCAGATGCGTAAATGATCCACATATTTGTGTACAAAGACAGACCTCTTCGGTCAGTCTACTCGTATGAGCCACTGCCAGATTTCGGGACTTCGTATTATATCTCGAATTCCGCTCCAACTCCTTATCGATTGACAGGAATTGCGCCGACAGCTGATTCGTTGCGCAATTTCAGGCAGTTCCTCGACGGCTGCAGTTAGTTTGTATTTCAAAAGTACACACATATCCTTGCGTCAAATAACGTGCTAGGTAATTTGAATTCTGTTCTCTGTCTGTCAGTTCGATGGTTGGTAGCGTTTAAATATTTCATTCCACTTTAAAAGGGAATATTGTCTGAAAATGATATACAGTAAATAAGAGTTTCAGAGGTGTATTAATTTCCCTTTGAAGCATTGCACTGAAAAGATAACTGTCTATTAATCATATAACAACGATTTAAAGTATAAGTCAAATATTTTTATCGTTTAAAAGCCTATCGTATTTCTCCCGCCTTCCTAGCGTGCCTTCGTGGTGCAGTGGTTCTGCCCGCTGGGCCAGTATTCCAGAGGTCCGTGGTTCGATTCCCGGCGAAGGCGATTGCTCATTTTTCATCTCTCCGGCTTTTTTAATTAACCTAATGACTCTACAGTGGCGTCCGAACTAAAAGAGTGGCGGATCATGATTTTTCCCCACTCAGGATTTGGCGATTGGGTCCTTTAAAAACCCCAGTCGCCCTTTAAAAGGGGGCGTATATAAGGTATTTCTCCCACCTTCCTAGAGTGCCTTCGTGGTGTAGTGGTCAGCACACTGAGCCGGTACTTAAGAGGTCCGTGTTTTGATTCCCGGTGA